TATGTTTCACCTGATTAACTCATTTAATCCATCCAAATTTTAATTAGGTGGGTTAATTTCATCATTCAAGTAGATTAAGTAGGTTAAATTTAAAATCAATTGAGTGGATTAAAAAATCTTAAAAACTCAAACAATATACTCAATGTTTACCCCTACTATAAAGTAAAGGATTAGCTAACCGTTAAATTCTCACATAAAAGGTGAAAGAAATTTTAATTCTAATTCTAAATTATTATCACATAAAAGGTGAAAAAAATTCTAATTCTAATTCTAAATTTTTCTACTATAATATTTTTTCTCACAAAAATTTACTTTTCAATTCGAGTTTGTAACACCTCGAGGAATTAAATATGATTACTTAAGATAATTATGATTTATTAGTGTGCCTAATCTGATTTAATTAATTAATTATTGTTTATTAAATGTTTTTTATGTGTAAATTTAAATATTACCAAAGGATTTAAATATTGTCAATATTTATATTTTTACCCTAGAAGTGTGTTGAGACACATTTTCTGGTCTACTTCCCAAAATATCTTTTGAAGTTATCCTTTTCTTTTCTTTTCTTTCCTTTCCCTATTCTCTCACTCTCTCCCACGACACACACACACACACACACTCTCTCTCTCTCTCTCTTTCTCTCTCTCTTGTTCAATTTGTCATCGAATCATCCGGATTTTGAATCAAAAAAGGATTTAAAATAGTTTTTAATGTCAAGAGAATGATTTGAGGTAAGATTTCTGAAAAACTTCTCTTGAATCTCAAATTTTTCTATTAGGAAAACCTATTTTTAGTTCGAAATGAATTTTGATGGATTTTGGGTAAAATCCCCGTGGAAAATTGGGGAATTTTGGTTCTTTGGACTGGATTTGTCATTTGGAACCTGGATTTGGTAATTTTCTTTTGAAAAAGCTTGGATTAAACTCGGATTTGCAGGTTTTTGTAACACCCTGAAGAATTAATTGAGATTAATTAAGGTAATTGAGATTATTAGTGTGCCTAATCTGATTTAATTAATTGAGTTTAAATAATTCCAAGGTACTTAAATTATTCACAGTAATTTATTTAATCCAGAAGTGTGTATGGGCGCATTTCTGGACTGTTATATTTTACACATGTCACTTTCTTTTATTTTTCTTTTCTTTTCTTTTCTTTTTCTTTTTCCTTTCTTTTCCTTCCTTTTCTTTTTCTTTCCCGTGCGTTTCTCTCTCTCTCTCTCTCTCTCACACACTTCCGTGCTCTCTCTCTCCCTCTCTCTCTCCCATTTGTGTCTCAAATCAAAACCGGATTCGAACCAAGAGTGATTTCAAAGAGTTTTCAACGTCAAGAGAAGGATTCGAGGTAAGATTACTGAAAGAACCTCTCTTGAATCTATGTTTTTCGGATTTCAAAACTTATTTTTGGTTCAAAACGGATTTTGATGATTTTGAGTAAAACTAGAGTAGAAATTGGAGATCTTGGGTTCTTTGGACTTGTTTTAGGACCTAGAACCCGGATCTAGTGGTTTCCCTTTGAAATATTTGGATTTGGGACTGGATTTGCAGGTTTTTAGACTGATTTCCGCGAGCTTCTCTCGCGCAGTCGATTCCACCGGTCGACCTGTGCGGTCGACCAAATTGCAGGCTGACCGGTCGACCTGTCCGGTCGACCAGTGTGCACACTATCGGTCGACCGGTAGTGTTGCACTGCTCTATCACCGGTCGACC